GTAGGGTAACATCACACCTAAATAGAGAATGAAGTAGTAGCCAGTTTATAAAATGTGACATGATTTCTTCGCATAAGCTGTTGAGTTTCTTTGTGTAATGTTAGATTCAAATTACCTAGTGATGGAATTTTTTTCCAGATTATGCAGAGATTAAAAACCCCAACCTGCACATCAAATGTGCTGGATAACTATGCAGTGCAGAACAAATACCTTTTGAGGTGCTTTAACAACTGATCACAATGATATATTTGGGCTTAACAAAATGTTTATTAGTTTAAGTATAAATATTTAAAGTTTAAAAGCATACTTTGAAATTAATCATCTGGCTGTTTTTATTATGCTCTTCCCTGTCCTTCCCTCCTTATAGATGTGTAGTTTTACACAGTTCTTCACTGTACTTTCTGGCTTTTGAAATAGGAATCCCAGTATGTTTTGTTTGCAGGTGGAAAAAATGGGTCATTTGATACTCAATGCCATTTTCCTGACCCTTTCTTATTTGTGGGATTAAAGGAGAAAAACTGTATGGATGCTTAGTTTTAGATTACTGGACCTACAGTAACATAGCCATATGTGAGGATGATTAAAGTGCAGATTAAGCTTTGAAGGGAGGAGTTTTTTGAATGTCTGCATGTATTTTACATATTAGAGTATATTTTCAATTGGTCATGTAGACATAATCATACTGTTTAAATTAAATGACAATGTTCTGGAACAGAATTCTGCTGTTTACACATGCTTTTTATAATAAAAATACAGATTATTTTCATCTTTAAGGTACATGTGTTTGTAATTTAACAGTTCAGTACTCCTTCACACAGACTAGTGTTCCAGGGTCTCAAGTACAGCAGATTTAATAATTCTGCATGAAAATGTAATTGTGGCTGATGATACTGACTTTCCAGAATTTCAGTGTAACCATTTGCTAGCTTCAAAGCTGCATACTTGGGGTATTTTATTACTTTGTCACTGATATTAACACTTCCCAATTTACTTTCCATTATCCAGCTGTAGTTTAGAGTGCCTCACTAATTGATGTACAAAGCTTAAATCTCTGCTGTCTTGAATATGCTGTGAGCATGCCAACATCTTGTTCTTTCGTTATTTGGTTGCGTAACTTCTAGTAACCCTGCCAGGCTACACCAGGTACGTGAGTGTGGCTCTTAAGGATCGGATTTAAAGCTCGGCTGTGTCTGTGCTGAAAACAGCCACTACAGGTCTGAGCAGTTGCACTGACAGTACCTGCTGTCTGCTGCTGTTGCTTGCAGGTCGCCTGGCTGCCCATGGGAAAGGGAGAAATGTTTACTTCTGTGCTTTGGGCATTGCCAGAGGAGTGGAGCAGTGGTGGGGAAGAAGAAAGTATTCTTGTGACCTGTGGCAGGGCTGGTAAGAAGTGCCTACAAAGTCTGACATTTGTTTTCCTCAGGGCTGGGGAAAAAGCAGTCTTTTAGGAGAGTGGAATATTTTGGGTCCTTTGGTGTGATTGCAGAGTTCTGTCTCTGACAGAACTGCAGAACTTCAGACTGCAGAACAGTCTGTTCTGTCCAGTTCGGAGAGAACAGAGTGAGTTCCAAGGTGTGCAGGGTAAAGACAGCAGAGGGTCTGTCCCCAGTTCAGATGGTGGCTGTGGAGAAGTGCATCCACCTGCACTCCAGATAGGTGCTGGCAGGTGGGGCAGTCAGATCCTGGCGTTGTACAGCAAGGCATCTCTGGGAATGAAAATGTGTCATTTGTGGCAGATGAGGGGATGGTTTTACTGTTTTAGTATAAAGCAGTATGTCACTGAAGAATGCTGACACTTAAATGCCATTAGATTTATGTGTATCCAACTGCACATCCAGTCACGATGTTCCCCCTTTCACATGCCTTGTAATAAAATTTCAAGGACTCTTAGTTTTAGCTCTCTTTAGGGCCAGAGGCCTCTGTCTGCCAGTCTGTTGTAATGTCTGAAGCCTGTGGAGTTCCCTAATTTCAGTCATTTCCTCATGAGTAGTATTTGTTAGCAGCTACAGTGACAAATGGCCCAGTAGTTCTGCAATAAAAGCCATGGGTAAGACAGGCAGTCTTCCCCAAAATCTTACATTTTGATTGCGTCCTTACTTTTTATCCTTCTGTGCGGCTGAGCTCTAAGCATCTCGCTGGTCTGTGAGAGCAGGCGCGGGCCTTACACACACTTGGCTGGTATACGAAGTGGCTGGTATCAAAAGACTGCTTTGTTCTTAACCTGCAAGCGTGGACGGAATCACCCAAAGCAGCGTCGGGATTTTTGAACTTTCTTGTCAAAGGAGGAGAATGTTATGATAAGGCTTAGTTGTCATTCTGGGAGAAAACACAAGCATTTTGAAATAAGCACTTGGGATGTCTTGAGGATTTTTAAAGTTCCTTGGAACATCAAATTTCAAATTCAGCCTTACTTGCTGGAAACTTTCTGAATTCCAGGTAAAGCCTTCCAGCGCACTTGTACCCACATAGCATGCCCAGCGGCACGTTGGTGGGGGACCCTGAGGAAATGTATGATCTGGAGTAGACGTTTTTGTTGTGAAACCTCAGCAAATCTTAGCACAGCTTTCACCTAGTTGGCTGTATTTTGTAGTGTACACAGTTACCTCAGAGATAAAGCCTGAACATGGGAAAACTACATTCAGAGAACTTGTGCTATTCAGCTTTGACACATCCCTTTCACTGCTGTCATACAGTGAGCTTGCTATCTTTTGCTCTGTTTCCTTTGGGCTGCATGCACTGATGGTGCTTTGGTTCACTAGCTCCTGAACATAAACTCTGCATCTGTATGTCTTGGATGCATTCATGTACACCGAATCTCAGTCTTTTTCTAGAAAGCAGCATTGATGCAATTTTGTTGCACAAAAAGCAGAAATGGTGTTTACCATAGCTCTGGAATCTACTGCCAGTTCATGGATATATTGGAAGTTGTAGCTGTGCCATTAGCAGCAGTGTAAATTGAGGTGAACCTTGGCAGTAGGTTTTCCATTTTAAAACTCTTTTCTGACAGTGGCTGTAACAATATGATTATAAGGAAAGTGCAAATAACTGTAGAATTGTTGCATCACATAAAAAATGTTTCCTCATTGATTGACTTCAGTCCTGAAATATGGAGATTAATGTTACAGGTTTGTCTTTTTTTTTAAAAAAAGAAACCAAAAACCCAACATGGTTCTGATTCGTGTAAATACCAATTGCTGGTCTGGATCAAAAGTAGAGGGGCAAAATGGTAACTACTGTTTATAATCTGTTGGAATAGAGTATGCTACATAGAATTCAAATGTAAGCTCCCCCTACCCCTCCCCCAGGTACTTATCTGCAAGTTTAGGGCTGGATATTCAGGATTCAGTGTTGCTCATATTATGTACTGCTAGCAGAACATGTAGACATCAGCACTGAATTTTATATTTGGCTGTTCTGAGCATAAAGAGGGGATAATGAGCTTACATCCAGGATCTTGCATCTTGAATGAAAGCCCAAGATCCTCTGCGTTTCTTAATTCTTCTGCTTACTAACTCATAAGAAGGTGGCCTTAGTCAAAGTTTAAAAAAAAAACAAAACCCACAACCAACAACAACAAAACCAAAACAAACCAAGGGAAAAAGTTCACTAGCTATATGCCTTCCCCTCAGAGAAACACAATTTTTATTTACTGATCTTGTGATTATTCTTTTACAGTGAAATAAATGCCCGGCTTGATGCTGTGTCTGAAATTCTACTGTCAGAATCCAGTGTGTTTGGTCAGATTCGAAATCTTCTTTGTAAGCTTCCAGATATAGAGAGAGGCCTCTGCAGTGTTTTTCACAAAAAGGTATACCCATAATTACCCTAATTCATTGTTTTCTAAATGGCGTCATTCTATCTTAATGTACTTCCATAGTTCTTGCATGTTGTTTAAAAATATTTTCTTCTTAGCAAGACTGAGGCTGACATAACAAAGGGATGCAAGTTTATAAAAACTATTTTTGATTTATGGTAGAATCTAATTTTATTTTTTATCAGTGATATGCTGATAGAAGAAATGTCTGAGTAGGGTTCTAGAATACATACATTGTATTGCTAATGCTAACAGGAAAAACATCTGTGATAATCACGATTTACTGGCTGGATTCAGTGAGATGGGATGATGCAGTAGGTCCTTGTGCCATAAATGATTTCCCTTTAAAACAAAGCACGGCATTCTGTGTGCTTATCTAAAATCACACTTGCAAGTGAAACCACTTGGCTGTAGTTAGGTGTTTTCCAATGAATGTTAATTTGTTTTAAATTCTGTAATTTGGATCTCACTTTCACGTTTTAATAAGAATTACTTGTAACAAGACACTGGCAATTCGTAGCTGAAGCAGATTAATGTGCTAATAGCACCTGTGCAGTACTTCATGTTCTTTTATTTCACTGTTATATTTAGAGGTTTTGACAGTTTGTTTTAGATGAAGGAATAGGTGGGTAGAAGGAGAGCAAAATTGTAATTTCTTTGGATGGTGCAGCGCAAAGGTTTCCTCTCTCTGAAAATCTGATACTCAGTTCTCGTATAATTTTTAAGGCCCTGATGTGTTGCAGTGTTAGGCGCATGGAAATATGAATTGCATATTTCAATTAATGGATATGGAGGTCCAGCCATAATGAAGTTTATGAAAAGAGGGATTGTGCACCAACTTCCCCATCCTCTAAGGAGCACACATGAGTATCTAAGAGTATCCACATGATACAGTTGTCTTTCAAAACAACTGTTCAGGAATTAGATAATTTACTTTTTAATGTTTTAACTCATTTCAGGTTGAGCGATATGTAATAAGATTTGTAGGGATACATCTGTATTTCACAACATCTGTCAATCCTCCAGTGCTGTCCTGTGCTGCTTCCCGCCCCCGCCCCCGCTTTTACTAGTCTGTATCAGGTGTCCCTTTCTGTTGTAGAGCTGCTTTCATTCTCAAGTTTAAAGCCAACATTTAGGTGAAACCATATAGAGGCCCTGGATTTTCAGGTGATTTTTGGAATGAGGTGACAATGTAGTTTGTCTTAACAACAGCCAGTGTAACGTGAGGTTATGTGAGTTTAGTGACTCAGATGTTGGAAAGAAGTTGCAGGTGAGGAGAATTGCTCCAGCAGAATCCTTAAGAAGGGTAAATGTGAGGGAAAAGCTCCAAGCACACAGTTTTGCTTTGATGAATTAACTTCTCTTGGTAAAAATCTAGTTTGTCAGCCATTGCAGAACACTGTGGAGAGTGCCCATAGCACTGAAGATCTTCAGGACTTTGAGGAGATGACAGTGTCCCTGAAACACAGGGTCTGTTTTGAATCAAGAATCAAAAGCAGACTCTGGGAAACAGATTTTACGGTCTAGACAGACAGTGAATATGGAGCCTGAAGAAAGGTACCTGCAAAGCAGATACATATTCAAGAAACTGATTTTAATTAATTTTTTTTTTTTCTGAATGTCTAGTAAATGCTGCCATTTCACTTCCTACTAGGAGCCTTTCCAGTTCTGTTAATTCTAGACATCCATCTCCCACGTGCTCAAAATGAGGTTCCCTGCAACTTCATTCCCACTAAGGGTTACAAAAATCTGAGTGGAGCACAGTGATGGCTTAACTAAAGGAATATGCTGTAATGCAGGCTTGTTGATTCAGTTTCAACTGCTGGAAAAATAGGTCAATGTGACAATTATTTTATCCCTCATGCCCTTCAGACTTCAGTAACATTAGTATTTGAGGAGGTATGTTCCATGAAGGGAGACCTCTGAAGTGTACAGAGGTGGTTAGATTGTCTCAGTCATTCCAAACATCTTTCTTTCAGATCAGCCATTGCAGAACTTTTATTGTGCGATGCACTTTGTGCCAGTAACCTCTAGAGGAGACAGAAAAAAAAACTAAGGCAAAAAACAATGCTCTGTTTTGGAACTGACTTTGCAAGGCAAAGCATCCTAGTGGGAGCTCTTCTGGTAAATAACATAGTTGTATATTTTCCTGGACTGACTGCTAAATTTTTTTTTTTTTTTAATAATAAATCTGCTAGTGATTCTTATCTGGTAGCGTCATTCAGATTGGCAATTGTTAATCTGACCTTCTGCAAGTTCCCATTACCCCAAACCACCAAAACCTATTGTTGATCTACCTCTAGGTATGAGCAATCTGGAATTAGAAGAGCATTCTTATAGTGGCAATTAGTTATTACCCTGGAGGTCGTATTATCAGCTGCAAGTTTGCCCCAGCCTGGAAAAGGACTATAGGAATGGTTAAGGAGATAAGAGAAATGTTACTGTTGCTATGGAGAGTGGAATTAATACAAGGACTGGTTGTTCTTCTCACTTCCTGCAGCTCCAGCACCTCACATCTTGATGGGCAGAAATGCTGTCAACAGCAGAATGGCCTTACCCTTCTCTATGGCAAGAGAAGGATGGCTGGAGATTAACTGTTTGAAGACTTCTTGGTAGCAGTCAGAAGTTGACTTCAAAAGGAAGCTGAGACAGGGAATTGTCAAGAGTTTTGTCTAAATGGTGGCTGGAGCTGATGCAGAATTAGATCTTGCTGGAAGACACATTAGCTCAATGTCTTCCATAACCAGTTCAGCCCTGCCCGCTAGCCCCTGGAAAGAGCCACCAAATAACAGAAAAAAAATTCCTCCACATGCATTTCCTTTTGTGATCTGCATTTCAGAACAGTGGGAAATACAAATGGCAGGACCCTACTTTTTTTGTCTGATTTACAGTGATGACGGCTTAGCTTTGCTATGGAGTGCACAGAATGGCAAGAGAGCAGTCAGAGACCTATTCTTGAGTAGGTCTAAAAACCAGTAGAGTAGACATGCCATCAGTACTTTTAGAAATGTGTCCAACAGGGCCATCCTGATGTTGCTTGCTGGTTTAATGCCTCGTTTCATGCAGGCTGTTTCAGAAGGTGAGTATTTATACAGGCTTGATCCATAAATGTTTATCTTATTTGTACCCTTTGCTCAATAAACATTATTTTTTGACTACAGTTTAGTTACCAAAGTGGATAGGAATCATCATAACAAATGGTCATTGAATTTATAGAACACATTGAAGTGAAGCTCTTTCACTGAACTCCTACACAAGGAGTGAGGTCAATAGTCAAGCCTTACCAGGATGTGTACTAAAATGTCATTTCGGTTTGTTCTGCTCCTAACTTCAACTGTAGGCTCTCTCTCTTTCAGAGTTCCTCACAAGTTGCTGTAGCTGGGAAAACCTGTTCAGTTCTCAATCAGGCTCTAAAACTTTGCTGCCCACTTACCAAACTGGTCACCTGTGCAGAATAAAGCAGGCAGTTGCTGCAAGGGGGGTGTTTGCTGCCCAGCTGCCTACAGCCTCCTTGTGGAAATTATTTGCCTTTCAGTATTCCAGTGAATACTTCACTACTTCACTGTCATGCTCAGACTCCTCAGAGGAGAAGGCTGCTGCTCAGCTTGGTGCTAAGTGTTTAAAATCTCTCACATAAGCTTGTCATACAGAATGATGCTGAAAGTGTGCCTGGAAGGTATGTTTGATACTTCATTGAAGATGGTGTTTTTCAGAAGATTCAGAGAAAAGTGTTGTATTTCTGATTTTTTTTTTTTTCCCCCCTCTTAAGAAATCAATACCTGTTACATATGCTCAGGAAATGAGTTACTGTTTGTATAAAATGTTTCAAATAAATTCTCCACATAGCATAATACATTATTGACTTCAGCTAACATATATTTTTTTTTTTACATTTTTTTCTTCTATGATGGAAGTATGCACATCTTGCGTATACTATACTTTTAGTCTTTGGAAGAATTTGCATCACAGATATTTTTAGATTTGCAATACTGAATGCTGATTTAGGCAAATTGTTTTCCATTATGCTGATTAATACAAACAGGGTAATAACAAGGGGATATAGTAACTTTAAAATTAAATACTTCATTTTTCTTAAACCAGAAATAGTATGCTTACTACACTAAAAACATAAAGTAGTTATTACAGTTTGAAAGGAGTGATAAATGTATGCTGCATTTTGACTCCTATTTTGATTATTTGAAATGCTTCTAATTTGGAGTGGTCAATGGCTGTCAGCTGTGGGTCTCTGTGGCTCCCTTTCAGATCTGTTGGAAACAATTTCACTAGTGCAAGCGAGGCTATTTTGCTTTCAGTGTTGTTGTTCAAAGGATGTTAGACCTGGCATACTGCTGTGCATCTTTCGTGCGTTCTTCTCAGTGGCAGCCATACCATTTTCAGTACAGTTTGATAAGCTGCTGGTTGAAACTATTGTTTGGCATCACTGTCAACTCTGAGGTTATTTTTCTAGTGCCAGAGAAGCTGTAGCTATCATTGGCACCATTTCAAAGTTAGACCGCAAAAATAGCATTGAATAAGTTTGTGAGAATCTTCCATGAATGCAAGGCTATTAATCCTGCTTTATGTAAACCATTTTTACTGTATTTTAAAAGTTTCTAATTTATAACACAGTTATATATCTTCTGTAACGTTACTTAGGATATAAATGGAATCAGTCCCACTTTAATGGAGCCCAGCTTTTCGGAGTTATTTTTATGCATCTGTTTCAAGTTATCTGTAAATCATTTTTGCAGTGGAGCCATTAAATTTCAGATGCCAAGTCCTGCAGTGGTACTAAAATCAAGCCAGGGGAAACAGTAATATTCTCAATAAGCACAAAAAGGGTATGTTCACAC